ATTCAAAGTCATGGTCAGGGTGACTTTTAGTTAAGAAAGCTTATGTTTCTGAGAGTTTTGTTTTAAAAGCATGTTTTAAAGAGGAAGATAACTAATATTAGTTAAGATACTAGAAAAAGAAAATAAATTTAAACTAAAAATGTAATTGTGCTTGGGAGGCAAAAAACAATTACATTTTTTACATGCTCAAATCAGTAAATAGCTGCAAGCCATTGTCACATCAATTTTTGTTCACTAAGGTTTAAGCAAATTAATTAAAGGACCTCAATCACATTTGTGTTATCAGCCAAATATTTGCAAAATATTAACACTGACAACAAAAATTCTTTTATGATTTCTTTTTTATTTAGTTTCCCAATCTTTCTTTAGTTACTATTCTAAAAATATGAAGTTGACTGTAAGTTGAAATAATTGGAAATCCAGTTTTAATGTTGCAGTATTAATTGTGCCAATACGACTGGAGACCACAAGAATAAACATACTAGTAGTAGTCAGTATATTGTGCAAATTGTGATGATTCAGTGGAAAAAGCCATTTTGTCATGTGGCTCTCAAGTCTATATTAGTTGTATTTTGTGTAACTACATGCATATTTTATGCACATATGTCTGTACTTTTTAATTGTATACATTGCAGATACAGTGTCCTGATCAAACTCGTGGTCAGAAAAAAACAATGCGTTTTCTTGGTAGTCTAATAAGAAAGGGAAGATTACATGCTTATAAAAGAAGACTCTTTTTGTATTTATAAATTTGTATTCTAGAAAAATCTGTGAAAGAACGGAGTAAGAGAATTTTGAATAGGTGTGTTTCTCTTAAGTTCCTTTCAAATGATTTACTACTTAAAACTTAGCCAGGAGAAAGCATTCCCAATAACTTTCCAATATTAAATCTAATATTCTTTATATGGTCAAGAATCTTACAAGATTGTATGCAACATCGTGCCTCCCAAAATCCAGGTTAAGTTTTCCCTGGAGCATTTGTTTAAATGACTAAGAAGAGCGTTGCTAACATAAAACAATATCCTGGTACTTGCTTTGGGAAATACAATAAAAATGTGTTTGAACTGAGTGAGGACGTGTGTAAATGTTCTGTGCTAGAATGATAGGATATTGTGATGCCTTTGAGTCTGTGCTTATTCCTCAGTTTGAATAAAATTAATGGCCAGGTGATGTAATCATTGGTATTTAATGGACATTTTCCCCTGAAAGAAAAAGCAACTCTTTGTGATCTTTGCGTTAGTGAATTTCTGAGATAACTACATAGCATGTAACACACTGTCCTAATTTTTAACATTGGGGCTCTCTTTATGTCATTGATTTATCAAGACTCCATGGCTCTATGAAAGCTGGGTCACTCACCAGACAGAGGGAAGTCTAAATTAAGATATGCTTGCCAAGAGTTGTTAAAATGTGGAACTGTTTCAAGTAAAACCTCAACATCAAATGTGGTTTCTTTAGTATGGCAGTTCTTTTCCTATAGTCCTTAAGACCTTACAGATTTCAGAGGTACATTGATATCTTCCAGATGTGCTCAGTTACCTTAGAGATGTTAGAATTGGGGACACAAGGAAAAGACCTGAGCCATGAGAGGATTTAAAGTGAGATTTCAGTGATGCCTTACAAAAGCTGAAAGTTTTATTTTATAATGATCATAGTCTTCCAGTGCTGTCTAATCTGGATGAGTAGGATATTATTACTAAAGCATCATTCATGATTCAGAAGATTTGAGTCCTTTTGACAGTTAACTTACCTAATATTATCAATGTACATTTGAAGAGATTTCATAGGATCGTTTTATTTGGGATTTGAGTAAATGCCCCTAGAAATAAATGCATCATCAACTTGTTTTAGAAGAGTAACAACATATATGCAGATGTACCTTCCTTGGCTTCTCACTGAATCTGGAAGGAAAGCTTTATATCAGTAGGTCCATTTTGATCTGAAAACTAAATGTTATGACAAGTCCTATTAGAAAATAAACCCCTTTGGATTTATACAAAAATCAAAATACAAAACTGGATCCTTTTCATACTTGATTGCATACCATAGCGGATCAAATTATATTGAAGCTTCATGCTTACTCCAGTAACAGATAGTCTTTAAAAACCTTTGTAGTTTATCCATAAGTGATGGTAGTTTCTAATTCTCTTCCCCTATAAATTTTTACTGATAGAAGAAGTGGCATGATAAAAAAAAAATACCCTTTATTTCTCTGGCATAATGCTTTTTTATATACTATGTTATGAACAAATGATTGAAAGTAAGGAATATGCCTATTAAAACTTGAATTGAATGCTGAGAGAACACCTTTTTTGGTTTAATGGAAGCTTTTTTTGTCACTAGGCATATTTGCACTCCCTTAAATGGTTATTGGTGGTAGATGTAATTTTAATGCCACTTGTTACAGCTAGAAATTTCTCACTGGTAATTTTAGCTAATAGCATCATTTATACAGTGCTTGATTTAGTCAAAATTTGTCTATCTAATGTTTTTAAATGCCTTTTTCATTCTTTTAGTCATTGAATTTTGTACTCTTTCAATTCTTGTCCAAAGTGAAGAGGTTACATTTTCAGTTTATCACAAAGACCTCCTTTTGGGTTAAGCAGCTATTTCCATTTTCCCATAAAGCTTCTACTTTATACTGATTTTTCTATTGCGCATTTTTTAAGTTCTTTATTGTTTAATGTATTACATAAGTCTTCTTTTTTCTCCCATTGACCTTTCCATTGCGTACTGTCTTTTTTTAATGAAACTCTCAAAAAGAATGTTTACTTTTTTAGCTTGGATTAGCTTGACAAAATAGTACAAATAGTTGACAAAGATATACTGAATATATTTAATACTGACCATGCATTTTACTTGTTACAGGGCATACTGATTAGCCAGATGATGTATGTATGATAAACCCGTTGAAATGTTTTGTATGGTTTACCAGTTAATAAAATAACTAGCCAGTTTAATTACACAACAGGATTGACTAGATTTTTTTTCCTCTGAACAAATTTTTTTAAACCAATTCAACTTATTGAACCAGCTGGCACAATCAAACTTGTTATCTGTTTAAACATATTTAAGAATCTTTTTCTTCCACATACTTGCTAATTTAGCTAATCACATTAACCAATGACATAAGTAGCAACTCTTTGCTGAAAATAGAACTCTAGAAAAAAAATAGCAACTTAAAGGAATTTGACATGGCTGATATTTAAATTTCCTGGGAGGGGAAAGGCATAAGTACCCTAGGTAGACAATCCTGGTAATAGTCCAGGCAGAATAAAATACATGTCCTGACAGAGAGGAAAACAGTTATAAACAGGGTCACATCACAATGATTATAGATGTATAATATATCTAACTACTAGTTGTAAAGAACCCATTATTCAAAGATCTGTTGTAGGAGCATATAGTGCATCCCTAGAATACAATTACTTATTTCCTCTAGCTTCATGGTGTTCATTTGTGCAAGTGGCTCCTTATTACGTATATAATTTCAGGATTTCCCATTGCCAAGATTTTTATTTCTAAAAGACACACAGTTCTACTGGAAACTGTTCCAAAATCAGCATAGTTAAACATCAGTCTTTACAGTTCCTTAATATTTCAAAATCCTTCAACATATAAAGCTTCTGACTTTTTTACATCTTATTATAGAGTCCCAAAATAGCTGGTCAGTTATTTACCCCTTCTCTCTTTAATTTCTATTTCACATAGTCTAAAGCATAACCATCATTTTGGCAGAGTGTGTGATTTCAAGTTATTAAGGTGAGCTGTGTAGCAAAGAAGGTAAAAACTGTGCACCGAGTTACAAACCATGTAGCCTACCATAGTGACCTACATTGTACATTGTACTTATACTTGGCTTTTTAAAGCATATTTTGTTTATCTGTACGAAAGTATTGTCACAATATAAATTAGTTGTAATATGCCATTTTTGAGTGCCCAGCTATAGACTGTGGGTCTATATAGATATACTCAAATTGTTTTCATACTGGCTAAAATGACATCTGGTCATGTGATGATACAGATCATTTTGTGATCATTATTTTTATATTTGCAGTTGCACTAAAATGCTATTGTATATTTCGCTAATCAGTAAGACCTCTAAGATAAACATGAAAATATGTGAATTTTTGTTTCACTTTAAGATAATTTCTTGAAACACGAGATCAGTTTTGAAGCTTAGAATTGGGAGTGCTCTTAAGTTAATGTATCCTGACATATCGTTTGATTTAGTATAAATACCATCTTAATTTTTAAAAACTTAGACTTAACTACAGGAATGAAAATAAGTTTTCTAGATTTGCAACTACAGATTATTTTAAACAATGATAAATGTGTGAAAAGGTGAAATGTTTGTGTCACACTAATCACTATATTTTTGAAGATGTACCATAAAATGACTTTGAAAAGATAGTTGTGTTTACATTTACTTTTTAAAAGTAGATTTTCCTAGAAAAATACTGTTTCATATTGGCCTTTCATGGTCTATTTTTGTAACCTTTTCTGAGAATCTGTGGCATTCTGCTAATTTAGGAGTATTAGGAGTATGGTGTATCTTTGGTGGGGGGGGGGGGGTTCAGAATATCTTTCTAATATATCAGGATTTGAATGAGCTAATTCTTTTGAAAGTTACTCTTTATTATCTTTCTTTAAAAGAAGGGATTCTAACAAAGCAAATTTAATTTTAATAAGATTCTGACTGTGACATAAATCTTCTCATTATGAAACACTGCATAGTAGTATATAAATATGGTTATGCCATATAATAAGGTGAGTTGGGGACTACGTAGAAATCTCTAAGTAATAAAGTATCTGTGTTTGGAGATTCGAAGGAATATCCCTGTGATAAATAACGTGCTCTTTTCTTTCAGCCAAGCTCAAAAACTATGCAGAAGTAGATAATTTAAAATGATAACTCTGTCGTTGTTGTTGTTGTTGTTGTTGTTGTTGTTTTGTGTGTTGTTTGTGTGTGTATGTATTTTCTTTTTCATTTTAACCAGCCTCTTATACCTAGAAGTCCCACAAGCAGTGTCGCCACGCCTTCCAGCACCATCAGTACACCCACCAAAAGAGACAGTTCGGCTCTCCAGGATCTCTACATCCCCCCTCCTCCTGCAGAACCGTATATCCCCAGGTATAAAACTAATCATCCTGTTGTTCTAGGAAGCTTCTGTCCAAAGACTAGCCCAATGGCATGTAAACTGTGAAGTAAATTCTCAAGGAACAACTTGAGTAGTTTCTCAGTTGGGAATTTGAACATATTCCAGCAAAATCATTGCATGACAGAGAATGCATTTTTGTTAATAACTAATTAATATGTACTGAACACTTAATAAGCATTAAATATCTTATAAACGTCTCATATAATAAAATACTATTAAATAATAATTAGGATTATTTCAATAAGCAAAATATAAGTGAGGCTCTTTGGCAAAGAAGCCCCTAGAAATCTTAGGTTACTTTGAAACATGTCATATATTTTTTTCTAGAAGAGAAAGTTATAGATAACTTTTATAACTTTTGAAATGTAGATAATTAGAGAGTTTGCAAGAAAATGGCTTGCCTTTTAAGTCCAGATTTCTTGAGGCTGTGTCCCCATTTCATTCCCAAATTCCTACTAGAAATTATTGGAAGATATGGAAGAATAGAACTTAGTGCCGTAAAGCATTTTGTCCAAAGCATCTGATACCCATCTTTCTGAAATACAAAGTTATGGGAAAGGACCAGTACAAAAGGGACAGTTAATACCAATCACAAAGAATTTGATTTGGTTTTTAAATCAGTTGTGCAGTCATTCAAAAGCAATAATTTAAGGTATCTTGTTTTCAAGACAATTAATGTTAAATTTCTTTTATTTATAAAAGAACTAAAATACCTTGTTTTTTATTAATTTTTATTATTCATTGGTATACCTAATGTTTCATTCTATTAGATATGATGGTACTGACATTTTTATGATCTAAATGCTACATGACAACATGGCATTTTTGCAAATACTTTGTGTTGTCATTTGGTAATAAAACTATAGTCAGTTTTATAAACATTTTCATTTTTATTTTTGAGAACTAAATGTAGCTGTGGGGGAGTATTTTATGACAAGATGTAATTTATTAAGCTGGGATTCCACAAATATTCATTATATAATTTACAGTCTTATGTTAAATTTACAACCAGATATAAAAATCTGATATCCTAGTCAAACACAAACTGCATTTTAATTCTATTAAGATAATGTCTGACTTTCTGAATACTCTTGCAGGAAGAGCAATAAAAGCATGTGTGTATCAAATAGGAAATGAATCTTTTGACTTTGTTTTATTTTACTGCAAATGATTAAGAAGCCTTATTCAGAGTGCTACATGTACAAATAAACATCAGAAGATGTTTTTATCAAATCTCTGCAGTGTTTTTAAATGTTCTTTCCTTTTCTCTTGGCTAGGATGGAACTTGTTTTAAAGAACATGTTTCCTAGACAGAAAGTATTTAAAACACTTCAGAAGACAAAGGAGTAAAATGATAACAATTCTCTCTTCAGGGAATGGTATAGATATGACTAAGGAAATATATAGAAATCAATAAAAAAATTGAACATGCTATTGAAAAATACTATATAAGAGGTTGAAGTATCAATATAGCATTATTTTTTTGTCAGTATTGTTTGAAAGCTCCATACTTTTCAGTAAAAATTCATAATTAGAGTGTATTATTTCATTTTAATTGATTTGTAGTCTGGGCCTCTAGTCTTAAAATAGAGACCCTTAAAAATGGCAGGCCTAGTTGTCAAATTATGTAGATTTTTTTTTTCATGTAATTATTTCTTTAAACGTATTTATTCCAGAAAAAAATAAATGTGGTTACAAAAGGGATCTTATCACTAAAAGAGAAATCATTCGTGTATGTGAAGTGAGTAAAATTTTGTCAGTTTATACATATGACTTATGAGTATATGAAGTTTCATTATCATAGTCTATAGTGCACTTTTTAAGATGAAAATCAAGAATTTATAGGCCTTTGCACAACTGTGACATTTAAGCACTAATTTCTCCTGTGAATTTTACAGTGAGCCATTAAATATAAAGTCACAGTTGTTCTATGAGATCCCTTTTAGGGAAAAACTATAGACTTATTAATGTGTGTATAGCTATCTAACATTTTAAAAAGGGAATAAAATACTCAAAATATTACTTGTGTGTTTTTCCTGCAAAGTTGGATTCTTTATACAATTCTGCATTTTCCAGATTGCACATATACAATTAGCATATACTAATTATACAAATAAACAAGTTAAATATGAAAAATATATATTTTAATCTTTACAGCAAAATGAAGTAATACATTTAGTTATTCGGGGACTTATGGTGTGAATACATATACAGACACACACATTTATATACACAATATGTATATCAATTCATTTTTTTGCAGTTTTTTTTTTTTTTTACTTTTTAAAATTCAACTTTACTTGAGTGAATGACATACAAATGTGTTTAATAAATCTTCCTTGCTGGTAAAAGGTCCCTCTTTCCTTTCACTATAGTGCAAGTAATACAACCCTTCCAATTTTCTGCCACAGGTGTACACCTATACAGAGCATGGTGAATTAACTAGGGCCTAGTCACCCTCCTAAATCAAGCTGCATTAACAGTTATGTCACTGGCATGATAGAAAAGTCTGCCCATTTATAAATAAGTATAACCCTCTTCCAGTGCCACAACTTTGTTAGGGCTATTTCCAAATTAATTGCAGTGTCTATTTCTTTTTTGATAGAGGACTAAAACATTTTTTAAATGCCAGGCAATTTGTGCAGGAAACGTTTTTAGCGAGCTGACAAAAGAATTCTGCCTGGATCTTTATATTTATTTTCTTTATGCTGCCTAAGAACTATACATTTATAATTTGGGAAGAAGCAACGCATTATTTTAAAAATATAAGAGTGAGTGGCAATGTAAATGGCAATTTCACCTTGTGATGAATTAAGTACATAAGAAAATTTGCCAACTCAGTTTGTCTTGAGAATATTATTTACTATTTTCTACATATTTCAAATACTAGGAATATAGTTTCATTCGGACAAACCTAATCTAAACATTTGCATATGGATACAAGCATAGTATTGTGCTGAATTGAACCTCATATTTCAATTTATAAGCTCATCACCATTTTATAAGATAAAAGATGAAATATAAAATTCCTTTTTATTTGTTCTATTAATTTAAGATTTTTTTCTGTTGATTGAAGATTTCAACTGTTGGCATTTGATGTAATATTAAATTTTATCTGCTTTTATAGCATTGATGTCACTCTTTAGCATAAAATAGGAAACAATTATGAATTAGGAAGAAATAAAATTAATGACCCACAAGGGAAGAAACATTGGATTTACATCTATAGTCCTATTTTAAAACATAAGCTTTTCTAGCAAAAATTTCATAACTAGTCATTTAAACGTGTAAGATAAACAAGGTTCGATATAGTCAAACCTAAATGAAATACTTCTACCAAAATACCACTCATTAGGGCCCAGTCATCTGGACCATGTGAGTAATACAATAAGTAAATAAGATTTAGGGGTTTCATAAATTATTAGAGAACTTGCCATCTTTTTTTATTGAATTTTAATTATTCAAAACATTTACATGGCTCCAAAATCCAAACTTTATAAAAAATACATTAAAGCAAATGTTTTCACCATTGTTCCTCCCAGATTTTCCCTCTCCTTCCCCATAAAAATTATTTTTATTAATATTTTTTTGTTTTTGTTTTTTTATTAAATTATTATCTGTGTACATATTTATCCTTCCATTATTTCTTCTTGAAAATATAAGCAAAACTAGATGTTTACATTAATATTCCCTTTCACCTTTCTTACAAGAAAAAAGGAAAATACTACAAACATTGCTCTCTACCTAACTTTTTTATTACATTTATTGGGGTAACACTGGTTAATAACTTGCCATCATCTTTAATCCCATTCTTAAACTCTATATGGATATGTAATGAAATTTTCCATTTGGAATGCTGTGAATGTATGTATTCATTATTAAATGAGATACATAGAATTTAAATATTGAGAGTATTTTCATTAAGGTGTATTTTAAGTTAATGACAAGCAACTTGACATTCTTATAGTATTAGTACTGATTTGGTTTTTAAAGCTACAGTGTCCTTACAGAGGCATTTATTCTTAAACACTTTTTTGTTTTTGAGAAGTGCAGATATGTGAACCAACTAGGTAAACTGGCAAAAGAAAGTTAGATTTTTAACATTTCCTACCGTCTTGAACACTAAACGCAATCTGTGTGCTAAGGTGATGTCTTTATATGGCACAGAGCAGTGAAAATGGACTAGGGCAAGAGTTAAAAGATCTATGACCCATGTCTGGCTGTGTCATTTATTACCTGTGTGACATTCAGGTAACTCATTTAATCTCTCTAAGCCTTGGGGTTTTTTTCTACAAAATAGGAATAGTTAAAAATTGTCCTATAAATCTGAGTTTGGAAAGATGAGAAGATATAGTGCATGGGAAGGATATTATGACTATTTTAGACATTCTCAGCCTTTTTACCACCCTAACACTTTCCTGCATTTTTCTCCTTCACCCTTTCTTTAGGGATGAAAAAGGAAACCTTCCTTGTGAAGACCTCAGAGGACATATGGTTGGCAAGCCTGTGCATAAGGGATCTGAATCGCCAAATTCATTTCTGGATCAGGAATATCGAAAGAGATTTAATATTGTTGAGGAAGATACTGTCTTGTATTGCTATGAGTATGAAAAAGGAAGATCAAGTAGTCAAGGAAGACGAGAAAGCACCCCGACTTACGGTAAGAGTTCTTAAGTTGACATAAGAACATATGTTTGGAATGGGGATTTTCATTTCTTTTCATGGGCTTTTGAGTTATGAAAATTATTTGATAGCTTTTATATTTGTAATTGATCTATGTCTGTCATGTGCTCAAAGGTGAACTTTCAACAATGTGAGGCATGCCATCTAAACTTATTCTAGATTTTCCAAAGAGTAAACAAGAATAGTAGATAGCATTTTAGCTCATTAGTGGTGTGTGGAAACCTTTTCTAATTACATGAAATTTTTGTATGTCAGATGTTGCCAAATTGGAATAATTCAAAGTGTGTTTTTTTTCCTTTTTTAATTGTAAATTTGCTAATGAAATGGCTTATTGAAAATAAAATTGTGTCCTTTTTCCTCGGGAATCTAAAAAATCTTTAGATAGGCTTTTCTGAGGGGAAATTTCATCTCTATATTTGTCTTTTTTAAGAAGCTGCAAAGCTTGAGTGGAACTGGATTTTAAATAGGAAGAATACACTGTTAAAGCAAAGATGCACCTGGAATGACCATGTCCCTAGAGTTTTGTGGGATTTTTTGCTTTTGGCTTTGACTCCTATTTTTCCATGCACGATCAAGAAAGTAACCCAGTCACAACACTTAATATTGATATGGCATATCTAAAATATTGGCAGAGAAAGTTGCCTAAAGTTAAAGTACTGAGTAAAGTCTCTCGTCCTATAGCAAGAATGAATAGATTTAATTGGAAGTCTATGCTACTCCCTTTCCAGTTTTCAAACTAACCATGTTTAGTGAGGAACTCATACTTGGGGAAGGACAGGATCCTTGCCGATTAATCCAGACTTAATCAGTGGATGCTGAGCAGAAGGAAATTTTAATTTTCCCTTTCCACCTGTCCCCCTTACTTGTCGACAGTGGCCAGATGCCTCCCTCCTGTGGTCCCAAAATATTGGTCATCACTTATCTTAATACACATGCCTTATTTCTTTACAGCTCTTTGGTAATAGTTACATATGAAAAGTTTTGCTCAAAATGACCCTAAAAATTAGTAACTATGCTTATCTTCCTTTGTGTTATTCTCTGTGCATGTGTTTTCTATCATAAGAATTAGCAATGGTATTTTACAGCATAGTTCTTCATACTATTTTGGTGGCATTTATTTTGAATTGTCATAATTTGAATGTATTTGCAACTTTGCTTTTCCCCCTGCTATATTTTAAACCTTTGTAATACAGAAGCCTGCCATCTTTATTATCCCTACCCCTGATCCATTACATAAGATTATTATTTTTATTCATTCATTCCATAAGCACTTATTGAATATCTATTATTAGTCAGTACTATATACCAACTTTTCCCTTTTTTATGTCCCAGAATTTTCTGGCTATTTTCTACTTATGTTGAAGAAGATAAAAATGTTTAACCTAAGAGGAAATTGTAATCACCACATAATTTTGATTACTGATAGCTTTATAAAAGATATGTTTATGCCTTTAGACTGTAGTTTAAACAAATCATATTTCTCTCAATAAAATAGAATACTATTTAAATTTTAGAAAATATAGATATCCTACGTATATTTCATGTATTTTTATAAACAACTTAGGAGAAAATAAATGTATATATGCTTGAAAGAGGAATAGGAAGTAAAAAAAAAAAGTTCTTTTACTTTTGATCCTGAAATTTTTTAACTTTAGAACCTAAAATATAATCTGAATCTTCAATGGAGATACTTATAGATACTTAGTCATCATCACTCTCCTATTAACTTCCCATATTACTCACAGAGGTTTAGAGTTTTGATTATAAGACTGTAGAGAGGATTTTGAGAAGCAAAGTGCCTAATATGTGCTCTTGATTAAATATATATGTACTTATTATATTATCTTAGTACATTCATATTTTAAAGTAATTATATAAAATAAAAATATTTAGGAAAGTTCTGTTCCTAAGAGTCAGTTAAAAGATCAGTTATTTGTCCTAAGCTATTAGATAAGTACAATATGGATCAATAGATGACCCTTGTAGAAAGTAAGTAAATAATACTTGTTGAGCTTTTATATGTTCCAGCCACTGTTCTAATCTTTTAGAAGGTGTGAATCTATTTAATCATTACAACAACAATATAAAGTAAAAACTAATGGAATCTTTATTTTACCGATGGGTTAAATAACTTACCCAACTAGTAAGTGATAGAGCTGAGATTAAGTACCCATGAATATTTGTTGATTCTGCTAGTGGTACTAGGTGACTAATTGTAATGAAAATAATTTGCTAAATCTTAGGAAAATAATATCCAAAATTGCATTACTCTTTCCAAATTCAAACATTTTATTTCAAGCAAAAAGAACTTGGTCTGATTTTGTATGTTCTTGTCTATGTTGTTTGGTATTTACTGGCATTATAATAAACATGAATTTACATAGACATAGCCTTGACAGACCTTAGGAAAAAATGGCTAAATTGAGGAATAAAATTAGCAACAATGTGTTGTATCCTTTTTAAATCAGAGAACATGAAATAGGGTTTTTTTGTTTGGTTTGGTTTTTAGCATAAAATAGGTTTTACTTTCCTAAAAAGGTAGACAAGAATAACTTCTGGAAACACAAATACAGTAGGGGAAGAAACTTAGATAAGTGATCACTAGCATTAGCTGTCATACCAGCCATATTTGGTAATCCTATCAGCCTTGTAATTAGTCTAATGTGGCCTGGAAATATTCCTCTAGGCCATAGTTTTCTCATTTGTTAAAAGAAGATGATAAAATCTGCCTCATAGACGTTGGTGAGAATTTAATGATAACACACTATAAATTGCCTAGAAAGTGGCCAGTATGTGCTAGGTATTTATTTTTGCTGTTGTCTTTATTACATAGAAACTTTAGTGTTGCTACGACAATAGATCTTAACTGTTCTCACCACCAAAAAAAGGGGGTAACTATATGAGGTGACGGGTGTGTTAAATAGCTTGATTGTGATAGTCATTTCTCAATGGATATGTATCTCAAATTATCACACTGTATACCTTAAATATATACATCTTGTTTGTCAATTAGACCTCAATAAAGCTGGAAAAATAAACTTAAAGATCTCAACATATAGCCTGGCCAGGATAGATCAGCAGTTGAACATCAACCCATGAACCAAGAGGTCACCAGTTCAATTCCCAGTTAAAGGCATATTCCCAGATTGTGAACTCGATTCCCAGATTGTGGGCAGGAGGCAGACAATTGATGTTTCTCTCTCATTTCTGCCTCTATATCTCTCCCTTCCCTTCTCTCTAAAATCAATAAAAAATATATTTTTAAAAATCTCAACATATAAATAATAATACTAGTGTCAGCCATTTTAAATTCTTTAAAGAATAAGATGGGATGAATAAAGAGTTCAATAAAAAATGAAATTTCAATGTGGCAGTAAAAAAAGGGGGCATGACAGCATTAAATCACTTCAACTATTTGGTCTCCTCTGCTCATGTTTCAAAGATAAAGGCTCAAATTTGATTAGATCAGTTGCTTGGCAACTTTTCAGTATGGTAATATCTCCCATCAGCTTTCCCTTTTCACTATTCAGGCACTACTTGCCCTTGCTGTTCCATCATAGCACATTTCTATACAGATAGACCTGCTAAAAGGCTGGCATAGTTAGCTGAGTCCCTTTGTGGCCATGAGTAGTCATATTTTATAACAATAGGAGGAAAACATGTATTTTACTATAATATCACAGAAGAGTATTGTTTTGAAAGAATCCAGGCCTTTTCTGATTTATGGAATATCCAAGACCTCACAAAAAGCACATGAATGCATGCAAGGCCTGTATTTTAGAACTGCTCCTCATAAATGCTATTATACACATTGTGCATTGAGAAAAATTAATTTCTGTAACATTACACCTGAACGTTTTGCAATAAAAAACTAAGTACTATGTCCCTGTTAGTCACATGAATAGATATGGAGGGCCTGTGGACAATTACACTGTAAACTGAGTTTTATCAATGTGAGGGGAGAATATTGTCTATAGGTTCCAGGTTATATATATGATCATACTTCAGTATCTCCTTCCTTTTTGTCTTACAACTTCATTCTGTCTTTTGGGCAATTAAATTATAATTAATAGCATTGTTTCTAACATTTCTTAAAATATCAATTATATATAATGCATTCACATTTATTCATTTCTGACTACAAGGCTGTAATTTTCTAATATAAATTATCCTCCTTATCAGGTAAATATCCAGCTGTCATTTATCAGCTATGCTGGAGAAAAAAAGAAAATAGGATTGTAACCATAGAAAATGTCTGTTTTCAAATAAAGTATACCACTTTCAAATCAGAACTAATAGAGATATGAATTACTGAATTAAAAATGGAGAAATATGAGATGTGTACCACACTTACAGGAATTCCTTCCTTTTGATTTATGTAATACATTTCATAAAGACTGTATGTTAGCTTCACAGAATAATTTTGAACATCAAGCTGATGTTGATAAGGGACCGTGTATTTGATAGAAAACTAGTTCAGCAATATTTTGGCATAGAAATAGAAAATAGTCTGTTTCTCATGTAGAAATTAGTGTTATCAACTAGGTAAGGTACTCTTTCTTAATTTGTATAATTTTATGGATAGAAGTATCAGAGCATGAGTTTTGAGGTCACATAGAAAGACCTGAATTTGATGTTTCAGGTTGGGCTTTAATAACTGATTGACCTTGAACTTCAGCCTTAACCTCACTGTTTTTGTTTCCTTATCTATAAAATGGGATAGTCATTGTGTTTTTGAGGATTAAGTGAGAAATGTACATAAGTCAAATACGTGCACTGTTCTTGACTCATAGAAAGGGTGCAAGAAAACATGCTTAAATGACATAAAAATTGCTGCTGCTCATAAATAAAAATGTCCTGCCCTAGCTGGTTTGCTCAGTGGATAGAGCGTAGGCCTGAGGACTGGAGGGTCCCGGGTTAGGTTAGGGTTAGGGTTAGGGTTAGGGTTAGCATGTACTTTGGTTATAGGCTCCTCCC